AACGTTTGTAATTTATTATTAGTGATTTTTTTCAATTTACAAGGATTTTTTTTTGATTTTATTGGTTTAGGGGTGGAGGGTGGCATTGTTATGGAGCCAGGGTTCTTTTAAAATTTTTAATTATTATATATATTTTTAATAATTTTGGAGAGTGGTATATTTATGAAGGTTGTGACTTTTTCAAAAATTTTGAAATATTTTATTTATCATATATTTTTAATGCTCCTCAAAATAATTTTTTTAATTTAATAATTAATATAAATAATACATAATAAAATAATTTTACAAACTCTAATCTACGTTATCTTAATTTAAATTTATTCTCACTTTTTTCTTCCTCTCTTTCTCTTTCTTAGTCTTTTCTCTTTTTGTTATTTTATTTTACTTTACTTTCTCTTATGATTTTTGAATTTGGATAAAGTAAAATTTTCTTTTATCTTCTTCTTTTGATTTATCTTATTTAACTATAGTGAGAAATTTTATATATCGTATTGAGCTATTTATATTTTATGAATAAAGAAAACATTATCAAGTATAATTTTTTAAAAAATTTTTATTTTTTATTCTTTTTAATTCATATATTCTATAAAATTATTTTTTATTATAAATTTTTTAATATTACTTAAATGTAATGTATTAATTTTAAAAAATCTAACTTTTATTCTTTTTGCTTTTTTTAACCTCCTTAATAAAAATTAATTAGTTCCGACCTACTTACAATTAAAATTCTGCCTCATTTATGGCAATTTTTGGCTTACCTTCTGCCTAATATTAAAATTTGTCTAACCTAGCTACAATGTTGTATTTTCTTTCAAGTTCATTTGGTATAGGCATTCAACTGCTCTGACACTTTGCCCCCCTTTTCTGAACCCTTTGTTCCAGCTTTTAGGTACAAAGAAATAAATAAGAAAGGCTAAAAATTTGAAGATAAGAGCATGAAAAGCTGCTCATTCGGTATAAATAAGATAAGGCTAAAAATATGGCATAATCCTCTTATTATAACATGGGAGTGGCATTAACTAATGCTTTGAGTGCAACACCATGTTGTGCGAATCACACGGTCACTTTAGATTTTGTATGGATTTCCCACTAAAATATGATCTGTTTTAACTAGAGTCATTAATTAATTCATATCTCCGTAATTATCAAAAATCCAATTGTTGAAATATCGTAGCTCATAAAATACGGGATTAATCGTATCATGTCAAGCTTATGATGTACACACATTATGGTAGATTTATTTGTTTAATCTCAAAGAATTGACTCACCGATCAAGTTTCATTTGAATATTAATGTTAAATTTTGCGATACGTAATATTTTTTTATAATTTTATGAAAAAAATAAACAATCTATACATCTCAAATTTTACGTATTTTGAAAGATTATATAGTGAATAGCAATGGCTATTTGATTATTATGCATTAGATCAACTTATGTAATTAGTTTTTATACTTTGTCAAAGTAGTAATTAATTCATGTACAATAATTTATAAAAATTAAATTTTTATTTTTTTTAAATTAATACTATCAATCTAATCATCAATAGTGTTAAATTTTTTTTATATTTCATAATATATTTTATTGATGTGATATTAAATTTAATGGCGTGATAAATTTTTAATTATACCTTATAAAATTATCACATCATTTGATTCAATATTATATCATTTGGTTCAATCTCACATTACTAAAATAATATCATATCAGTACAATCAAATACCTAATTAATATAGATAATAGAAACATTTTAACATTATTAATGATTGGAATAAAATTGCTAATTTTAAAAAATATATATAATTTAATTTTTATAAATTATTATGTATTGATTAAATCTACTACTATGATAGAATGTAGAGAGTAACGAATATAATATTATAAAAAAGGAAAATAAGAAGCGCGTGTTGTATCATGAATGATCTGGAGCACTGCCCATTGTCCTTGTAATTATCCTAAAAAGAAAAGAAAATGCTCTGGGTCTGGTGGAACACTTTGCATCGAAAACAATCATAACCAAAAAAAAAAAAAGAAAGAGAAAAGAATATTTCAAAAATGACTCATGAAGCAAAAACAAAACAGCTAGCATCTCTCTCTGCTGTCATTGTCTGTGAACTTCACTGTCAAAGGGGCAGCTTTGGGGTCTTTTTACTATTATTATAGGCTGCCCACAGTCCACAATGGTTTTGGAAGCATTGGTGTTGGGTCAACAACTAGGAACAGTTTTTGGATTCTTGTGGATTAGCCTCTTTCCATGAGGGTGGAGAGAAGGAGAAGAGAGACACAGAGAGAGAGAGATACAGGCAAAGAAAATATATATACATATATAATAAAATATTTGTCCAAGCCCCCTCCCTCTCTTTGATATGTTTGTATGTTGAATGGACCAAATTTAACCACATCATTCTTCCCCACTTTTTCCTTCTTATCTTTTGGCCTCTTTTGCATTTTTGGCTACCTTCTAATGCCCTCCTTTTTTATCTTTCTCTTTCACCCCCAAAGAGTTTAACTTGTTTTATCCTCCCCTTTTTCCCCACATGTGTCAATGGAAGCAATGAAACATTCATAGGCTATGCTTTGTATTTGATTTTATGTATTACTCCAATGTTTTTGAACTATTTCATCTCTCTTGCAATGTTCTTTGATTGTGTACTAATGTATATATAAGAGTTTACTAACTACCAAGTTAGACGATGAGGCGTATTATAATTTCATTTTATTAAGTATTTTTATTTTTTGTAATTTAGATTTTAACTGTTAAAATATTCGATTTTTATTTGAAAACACGCTCATTGTAAAGAAAGGAAGAAGGAAGAAAATACAAAGTAACTCTGTCAAACCCCTTCCCCTTTTGTTTTATAAAGCATGAGAGCACACAAAGCTGATGTTATGGAGAAATATGGACAAAAATTGTCCTAAGAGGAATCTCTTTGATGGGCTTTTGTCACCCTCTTTAGGCACGGAATCAATGCATATTGGTTACGCTGGCAAGCAATGTGGAAAATTTGGCAACTTGAGGTTGAGGACATCTTTAAAATCTCAAGTGTTTCATTTGGCTATGCCAATCAAGGTGCACTTTTGACTCATTGGAGTGGAGTAATGATCAATGAATATTATATTAACATTCCAAGCTCTTCTTTTATGATGGAAAATTCTAGTGTCAAAATCCATTCTTTTATAAGAAAATAAAACTTTATATAATAATATAAATATTCATGACAATTGCTTTATGAGATTTGTCATATATAAAAGATAATAAGATAAAAATCAATCGAGCCGAACCAAGTTGATATAATGTAAGTGTCAATGCTCCTACCTGGAGGTGTAAATGAGCCGAGCCGATTTGATATAATCCAAGTGTCAAACACTCGATTAAAAAACTTACATCCCTCACATGTCAAAATGTGTACAAATGATGACTTGTAATTCGCATAACATAGAAAAAGAGTGTTTTTTTATGCCTAAGATAGTCAGAACCGATGAGTTTAGTCGCATCAAAGAAGGGGAAAAAGGG